CAAGCAAAATATCGCGAGCCCCTCGGCCGAGACCCACGCGTCCCGCTCCCTATGAATCCTGCGAAACTTGCGATTTGCAAAATAATGTAAATGATTCAATGCGCCCCTGGAAGTTCCTTGACGTCACGTTTCAGTCACGTAAACCCGGACACGTCGAGCTACCTACTGGCCGTGACGTCGGGCGCTCACTTGCACCCGCCGACCCTCTGTGCCGCCGAGAACATCCTCAAGAAACATCCTTGTCCCAGCAGGTCGAGCGGGGCTATCCAGGACCAGCATAGGAGCGAACCCGAAGGGCTGCACTGCGTCAGAAGGACCAAACTCACGCTTTTTGGCGTCAAGTACAACACCACCTACTACTTCACTCTATATATCGTTAGTCATTCGTCCTTTTATTAGAGCCTTAATCTGACTTGTATTGTCTCGATCAACCCTGCTTCATCCTTGAAAAATTTAATACAGTGGCAGGAGCGAAATTTTTCACACTTTACTACTGCTTAACAACCACTGTACGCTATTTTTGTCAATTTTTTCATTAACTTACTTTGACATGCGGCTGATCGCGTCCCTTCTAATCTTATCCCACTCAGGCACTGTTTATCATTAATCACTAGAATATTTAATTGCATTAACCACTTCGTTTTACGCGATATACAACAATTACACAGAATGTATTAATTTTGTTAATTCTATTTTCATCCCAATTTCTTCATCAATCGCAAATCACACTCTGCTTTTCGATAATTCTTAATACCAATAAATATTCTTATAAATTTTTCGTATTACTTTGTTTTCTAAACGACATTAAATACAACATAAAACGTCGTCCCTGTATAAAATAAATTCAGAATTTACCATATCGTTCATTCAAATTTCTTTCCTTTTCATAAAGTTAAATTAGCTTTGTATTCTTTTTACAGATGAATACGCATAATAATGTATCGAGTCGAGTAGCAATGGATTCCTTTAGATTTCAGAGAAAGCCACCAATTATTCTACAGAGTGGACGTTACGCAACTACCAACTTAAGAAAAAGTGATGGCTTTGCGATTTTTCGATATAAGCCACGGGAAAATACCAGCACGGTATTTAATATTCTTGCTTGCGGTGCTTGTTCAGTCAAAGCAAAATTTCGAGGACCAGGATATTATCTAGTAAATAATATCAGTTACTCTAAAAATACTAATATTCGTTTATTGGCGTAATAACATTTCATTAACGTTTAATAACATTTATTAAGGTAGATAACGGCTAATTAGCTAATATATTTAAAAATCTGTACGATAAATAAATGTCTATTTCTCTCTCTCTCTCTCTCTCTTTCTCCGCTCTGTGCACGCGCGCGCGCGCGCGCGTGTGCGCGTGAAAACCTGTATGTTGCATAAATATATTTGTTGCATCATCTAAGATTATACTTCTCATAAGAATGAATCTTATCATAAGAAATGCGAATCAACCGAACATAACATAATTATCTTTAGTCATAAAATATTAAATTATCACTAATTTCCTTTCGTTAAAAATTACAGCTTCAAACTTTCATCAATTCATTATTATCATTTCATTTTGACACTTGTACCGCCAATTGCAAGAGTATATGTTACGAAAAAGCTCATTTGAAGTTATTCTGCATCTCCTTTGCCTATTTAAAAACACTTAAAAATCTAAAACTTGAACATTAATGAGTCAGATGTAATAATATTTTTTATTGATTTATTAATACGTTAATTTATAAATTACGATAAATTTAATAACTTTCATTTCCATCAATTATGTTCCATATATCTACACGATAAAATTGAATTTTTTCTTACCTACGATATTATGCCACGTTAATTACATGTTAATGGAACATTCGTTAATATTAAAATCTCTAATAGGAAGAACAAATTGGTGGAGAGTTTTTATTGCGAGCACCACCCCTACCAGTAGGCAGAAGATTCAGCATTCAAATAACTGCATCGCAATCGGATTTGGTTAAAATGTCCAAAGTGAAAATTTTGGCTACTGACGACGAGCCTTTAAACGATGTAAGTATATAATTACAGGCTCACAACTTTCCTTGTAATAAATACATATTCTTTGCTTTCTTCAACATAAATTTAATTCTCACTGTGTCTTGTCTTAATGGAATAATGCTTTAGATCATATCAGTACTTTGAATTGTTACGTTTACGATAGATTGTTTTAAATATATTGTAATATAATTATCACAAATGAAGACAAATTTTTAATTTAACAAAAAGTTATGCTCTTTGTAAAATAATCACATATAAATTAATGATACAATCATTCAATATTTTTAACAATACTCGGGCATGTTGAAATTCCTTCAATGCTTATATCTTATTATTTTATTCATTAAACTTTTAACTTTCAATTGTATATATAATATTAAAAAATATTTAGAATCATAATTTTAATTGCAATAGAGTAATACTAAATACTATAATATACACTTAATTGGGTTATTAATTCATGTTTGGTAAATTTTTAAAGGTACACAAATATTCACGTGGTATAACTCACAATTCCAGCTGATACACAGCTGAATCAAATTAACTAAAAAATCCATTTTTAATTATTAAAAATTAATTTATTGTGATAACGCGCATTTTATTTATTAACCATATCTTGTATACGATTTCCTGTAGTTCGATATTTATTTTGATGTATTTATTAAAAGCTTATGTCGAGCAAAGTCTCGAAATTAACATGAAACTAGTAGCGAAGGTGTTAGAACGAAAAGGAGAATCGTGAGAAAATAATCAGAATCAAGGAGAGAGAAAAATCTATTGAAATTAATAAATAACAACGATGAAAACTGAAACAAAAAAAAAAACAAAAAACAAAAGAACAAAAAACAAACAAAAAAAACAAAAAACAAAAAACAAAAAACAAATAAACAAAAAAACAAAAAAACAAAAAAAACCGCTCCGTACACACCTGAAGAAATTGATTAAAAAATAGTAAATTGAATATCATTATAAGATTGTTTTGAAAAATTTTGCAAATAGCGACCCTCGAGCTCTTCAAATCTATTAAATCAATGCTCAAGCTATTAAATCAATGATCACGTACATTTGCAAATACGTAAGCACTGATGGACCGCGAATATTTGCCGAGTCGGAGAATCTGTCGTACCAATCGACTGACCATTAGATACGCTGATTTGACGGGTTGCAACAAGGTGGGGCGAGCGCTCGCCAAAACAAAAGCAAACCGTTGCCTATGTAAAATGAATTACACCCGAATGCCATGCGTTAAAGGGGTTACGAGGAAGGCACCTGAAAGTGACGCAAATGTTGCAGAACTCGGCGACGAGGAGTTCGCCATGGGAGTATCGGATGCCGCGCAAGTGTCGTGCTAAGCCGGCTTCATGGTGCGCAAGTTCCCGAGGTCCGCGGACCCCGTCCGGTGCCGCCTCCTCGACTACGGGACCCTGTGCCGGTCAGGAGGGAAGGGGTCCGACTCACGTATCGACGAGGCCCTGTCCTGGCCCCTGAGCACCCAACCGAGTCCTGGCTGCATCGTCAAAATGGCGCTGCGCAATCCCTCCCGGTCCCTCGCAACGCCGTCAGGATCGCAAATCCCCAGCTGTGAGCCGTCATCGATGAAGAGGTGACTGACGATCTCTCAAAGTCAGACCCAACGTCAGACCCGACGTCATCAGTAAATAATGAGAGGGCGAAGACTAACCTGGCGACTTTCGTAAGAGGCGATCGCTCCGAGATCTCCGTATTTCGTACCCACCTTCTCCAAGCCATGATCTTCCAGGCTTTTCCGCGAAAACTTTACGGACTTTATGGACATTTGAGCATTTGCATAGAAATGCGCGTCGAGCTTCGAGCGAAAACCGTCTCCCCGTTTAAATCTTGCGTAAAAAAATTTGTTACACAGCCTTAAGGCCCAATTTTAATGTCCATAATATTGGCTTGTCAATTTAAAGAATATAACGACTCTGAGGACCTCTTAACAAGTCGTGAGTAACAATAAATTAAAATACAAAAGTCTTATGTTAAAATAAAGAGCAGCATTCTTTCACACTTCCAAATTCACATCTCGTTAACTAACTGCATTTAAATTTTTGTATAATAATATGTGATAAAAAGTAATTAACAATATGGCTTTATTATCGTACGCATGTGCTAGAATGAAAATTCTTATTTTTTTTTTTTAAGGTCAATATTTTTTTATAGCTCTGTTCATTTAGCACAAAATATAATTACCACAAAATGAAGAAACCATAAACATTAACAGAATGGTTATGTGCTAATAGAATAAACGGAATATATTCAAATATTGATGCTCGTAATTATATTTCTCTATCAAATTTTAATCAATGACAAAATTTTTATAAACGCGTTTAATAAAAAATTCGTAGCCTATTAATGCTTAATGATTAATTCATAAGATTTTTTATGATTAGGTATTAATAAGTAATGCAATATGTGTTTAATGATAAAGTCGAATGAATAATGTAGTGTGTGTAATACTTGAATAAATAAAATAAATGTACAATACGTTACGATATAAATTGAAATTAAGAATAAAGAATAATGAAGTCCTCCAACAGAAATGAAATTTTATATATGAGATTATTATGTTTAATAAATAATGTCACATCACAATCAATCACATCTTTTTGCAATATTAAATTAAAGTATACGATCATTTGATAGATAAGTTTAAATTCCTTTATAATATTGTTTTAAATTTTAATTATACGTACGAAAAATAATTTTAAAAATTCAAAAAATAATCACCTAAATTCCAAACTTACATCTTTCATTAATACTATTTGAATACTTTACACACATTACACGATAACATTATGCCACTATATCATTAGAATCCATATATTTGTCTACTTAATTATTTGAAGACAAATAGTAATTATTGAGCTTGTATTAAATTTATCTAGAACGTATAATGATGTCTAATTATTGGTATAAATAAATTATCCATAAAAGTATTGATATATACAATATATTATCTATAAGATTAAAAAATTATTCCACTATCTAATAAAAGCGATGAATTTAATTGTATATTAATCCGTTATTGCTTTTAATGAGTATTTGAATAAAAAATAATGAAAGCCAAATTTAAAATATTTCAATAATAAGCATGTATTTCTAGATTATTGATATGAAAATCTTCATAACTAGAAAATCTTATTTAAATAATGTATGCTATTGTACATCTATATAAACTGATTTTTCAATAATTTAACAAATTCAATAACCATTTGTAGATGAATTAGGTTAAGAAAAACATTCTACAAAAAATACACTTAATTTATACTAAATCTTACTTTTAATTTTAATATTTTTTATTATTAATATTTATTTAAATTTAACAATTTACGTATACTATTATTAAAGTCAGAATATGCTTTCACTGACTTTTCTTCTATCTGTATATTTGTGTTATAATCTGTTGTTTTTATTTTCTTTTCATTTCATTTACACAGTTTCGTAATTTAAAATAATTTTCAAAACCACGCTTGACAATGGTTACTGATGTCAATTTTTAAATCGTTTATACTTTTTTATAGGACGTAATTTTAGTTAAAATTTTCATGATAGTGTATTGAAAGCTAAAATGCGAAAGTAATTTTTAAAAACAAAATAAAATGAAATTATTAATATTGTTATGCATACGGTTATCCACATTTATATAAAGTGGCCTTGGCTTTTCTGGATATTGTGTACATAAAACACGTGATGAAACGACTACAGAGTGCACTTGGAAAATAATTGTGTATGTATGTTTGTGAGCGAACGAACGAATGCTTATGTACGTTATAATAGAATAAATACCATAATTCTTAGAAAATATGACAATACTTTTTAGTTGAGAGAATGGACGTCGCTGTCGTTTTTCTTAAATATTCGTAAAATTATTCACAAAATTAATACTGTAAGAAATCATGCAGAAATAATGTTTTTCGTTACAATTTTACATAAATGCGTTCACGTATAAACACACAGGTGGAGTAATTTATACAATACTTCGTCTGTTAATCATTAGGTGTAGAACAAAATTTTCAATCAAATTACGAATATTTTTGAAGATTTGAAAATTATATTCAACATCTTATTAGTTATAAAAAAAAAAAAAAAAAAAAAAAAAAAAAAAAAAAAAAAAAAAAAAAAAACGGAACACCTTACAACTAAATGATAAGAATAAATTACAATTTGAAGCTTCTTTTACGCCGACTTATAATGTGTCAAAATGTTTTTCTATAAATGTCAATTTTTATATAAAGAATTGTACTTTTTATTTATTTCTTTTCGCACCACCATTCCATTCCAATTCCAATTAACGTATACTTTAATTACTTTAATACTATAGAAATTACAGCTTACGTTTCTCATGTGTTTAATGTTAAAAGAATAATTAAATTAAAAAGCAATAAACAAAAAATAAGTTTTCTTTTATTAGTAATTTCCTGCAATAGTTAAGATTTCATCATAAAATTATATTAAAATAGCAAAATAAATAAGATTAATTATTCTTAACTATATGCGTTTTTTTAAAAAATAATTTAATTTTCTAAATTAGTATGAAGATATAATGAATATATATATATATATATATATATATATATATATATATAAATATATAAAAAAGAGTATATATATATTTTAATTATTAATATCAAACGACGATACAAATATATTATATTTCATATAAAATAACGCTTAATTATACAAAATTATAAAAGTTTAATTAATATTCTAAATTTTTATTTAAATGCAATATTTTTGTATATTTATAATGAAGAAACAAGAAATTTGTTAAGTTGTGAGGACTGAATAAATACGAGTATTTATTATCTTTAAATACATTTTACTTTAGTAACAACTTTGAAAATAGGCACAAACAAATTTCGACGAAATACATATTTATCACAGTAAAATAAAACAGAATATTTATTTTAAGAAATTTTCATTTGGACGTACTAGTAGTGTAACATAATAAAGAATTCAAATTTTTAACTATAATTTCCATTTTAACATTAGGAGCAGCTATGATCATAGTTATTTAATTTTTAATGATTTTGTGAATGCTTTTTACACACAACACTGTAAAGGAAAAATTTCTGTTTATATTAACATTTAACCTTAATCAATAAGTGGGATGAGTTTAAATAATAAAAATTAAAACAATGAAGAAAAACTATGTACAAGAGTAAATATATGAAACTAAAATGGGCATAATTAGAAATCCGTGGAAAATCGTCTGTATTCCAGGAACAATGGCTGCACGCAACGTACCGGGAAGGATAATTTCCTTGAAATCTCTTGGATGTCTAGGCTGTGCCTTGATTGCTAAAAATTCAAGTTTACACGAAATTTCTCAAATTTCAGGCTATTTTACGTGATGTCGATGTAGCTTTTTACCTGTCCATAAGATTTCGACCAACTCTCCTGTCAAATTATAAAAATCTCCGCGATTTGCCTTGCGGGAAATAATTGCGTGCCAAATCCTAAGGTAGAAACACAATCCTTTGATCAATTAATTTTTCAATTACTTTACTTCTAATAATGAAAGTTATGTTTCTTTGATAACAAATTTAAATAGCTCATCAGGAAGTTGCAATATCAAATGTTATTTAAGTGAACATTTTTAAATTTACAAGTATTGTGGTAAATATTAAGGTATTGAAATTGTGAAAATCTCTTATATGTAAACGATTCTATAATATATGAAATATCAATGTCGTTTAATTATTTAACTATTTACACCATTATATATCTATAATTGATTCCTAATACTTTGCTTGCATACACTTCTGATGTTCCTATTATCATTATAGATTAATCGATTTTAAAAAATTACTAGTCTTGTTTTAATGTTTTAATCTATTTTATATAAGTACATAATATTGCATTTATTTAAACATATTATTAAATATTTGTTTTTTCAGATTAAATGAGAAATTTAATTATGAAATAACTATATATTTTGTTTGTACCATTTATTATATTACATGATCTATTGATATTAAATTTTGTCGAACGACTTTAAATCTGACAGTTATAATAGTTATTCATTAAGTTATTTTTCTTCTATTCCATTTTAAATTTGATCAGCAATAATACTTTCTTATTTGTTACTTTTCATGATATCGTTAGACTATATTATAATCCTATCCATTATATTATTATTCGTTATTCTACTATTTCTCTACTATCTTGAACTTAAAATAAATGAATTTTACTTTTAATTACTTATTTCAACTATTCCAATCTCATAAACTATTATTAGAAGATATATCTATCGTTAAGTAAGAATTGATAAATATGTTTAAATATTGTATTTAAAGAATATTATTACTACATAAGAAAAACGCCTGATTGAAATTGCAATTCATATTTCATAAAATATATATATATATATATATATAATTCATATATGAATTCAATTCATATTTATAAAACATGGATATTAATACAACGGTTTAAATAAAAAATTATTTTTAATTAATGATATTAAAACGAAATAAATGCAAAAATTTTGTTTAATGAAAATAAATTACAAGCATTTTGAATTACTTGAAAAATTTGTCGTTAACTCCAAGTAATAAAATCAACATACTTTATCGCATTGAAGACGAGCGAATCGAATCCAAATTAATAATTCTTTTACCTTAACAAATATAACTATTAATTTAATTGATAATTCAGCAGTATTGTTGTGGAATTATTCTCTACTATCGAATACATAATCGGCAGTGGTAAAACCATTCTTTCGCATCTCAGTACTTTCATTTACTAACTCTTATTCGTTTTCGGTATAAAAACATTCATGACTATACATTACAGTTTAACAATATTATGGGAATGGCCGAACTGGTAATACAGTGTCATGACATATCTTCAAACAGTTGTAATTTTCATATATTCTTCTATGTTGGCTTTAAATCGATGCGTAATTGATAATTTTTGAAATTTAATCTATTATATGAAAAAATAATTTTTTAATAAAATAATCTTTTACATAAAAAATACATGCATCAGCACTTTTTTTATAAAATTTAAACTACAAGAAACAAATAAGCAATCATTGTTTAAGGAACAGAATTAATATCTAGTGTTTTATTATCAATTTAATATTGATAAGCCTTTATGGAAACGATTTATCGTGTAACTGTCAAACAACAAAATTATGGGAATTGATTTTATGTTTATAGTTAAATCAATTTTTTCTACATAATTTTAAAAAATATAATGAAAATATTTACAGACGTAAATTGAACTTACAGATTTATTAGACCCAAAAAAAAAAAGAAGTAAATTAACCTTATATTTCATTTTCTAATGACATATAGAAAATATAAGCACTTTTAACATATATTTATTATTTAAATGGAATATTTTTTAAAATAAAAAACTATAATTAAAATAATCTATTGAATAGATATTTTTCTTGTGTATTAATATAAAAAATTATACATTATATATATCATTTATAAAATTATATGTATATTTAATTTTATATTATATATAATTCATGTATGCTATTTAATTAATTCTAGAGAAAATAATTATTATTTCAATGTAACATTTCTCCAGATTGCTTATTATTAATAATAAGCAAGCATATTATTTAAAGAAATGAAAAATTTAATAAATTCATTAATTATGGAGAAGTAAATTAATATATCCACCGAGTAAAAAATATACATAATTTTATGTTGTATCATCTAAAACATTTATGTTAATCGTGCATTGGCTGAATTGTACGTCGTAAAAAGAATTTATCAATTATTGGTGGTCGTCTGCATTAATATGAATAACATGAGTTTTTGTGAGTTTGTGTGAATTCATTTGCACTTAAATTTTAAAGATATAATACATCAAAAAACTTACTCACATTAAATCAATAATGTTTTTACGTATAATAAGCGCAATTTTGAATATAATAATAACCTAATTAAAATTGATTTTTCTTATAGCATACTGAAATATTTTTTAAAATACTAGTAATTATTCACATAATTCACTTATGATAAAACTCTACCCATTTCATTTTTGTACTTGCATTCTACTGTTATTAAAATTATAAAAAATATTAACTTAATACTCAGATAAATAAGTCAATATTTATGTAAACACTTTAAGAAAGTTTCCTTTAACGTGTTTCTTTTTCTAATTACTACTATATTTTACTAAATATTGTTTATTACTAAATGAACTTTTCTATAAATTTAACATCAAATAAGTGTAATATTCATGCAACAGCTATTTCATTATTTACAGAATTAAAAATAATAAACTACCTTACTTACCTTACTTACCTTCCTTATTACAGCAAACGTGTATATATAACAAATCATGTACATACAAAATTCGGCTACGTCGCGTTGTTCGTCACGATTTTCATTTCTCTTACATTGATTTTTGTAATGGTGCACGTGCTTCTGGATCTAAACATTTGACGACGCCAAGCGAAAAGCAGCGACTCTCGGCTCTCATTTACGAACGATTCACAATCCACGGAATTTTCGACAGGTCAGGCCAAACTATATTCGTTTTTGTAAATAACTGGCCTTTCGCATCCCTTTTATTATTCTTGTTTCGGATTTTATTTACACAATTGATATAATTTTTAGTCATGTATATATTTATAAGCTACCATTTCTTTATTATAAGATAAGTTAAATTGAAAAAAATAAAATATCGTCGAGCCTTTTCTTAATTTAAATATAATATTTTCTTTGAGTATTTTTGTATTTATTGCAGCAATATATGTTCGATGTCAATTTTATTAAAAGATTTATTACTATTATTCCAATTTCTCAATGAAATAAATTGAAAATTAAAAAATAATGCGATCCATATTAAATGCAACTATCTGAATTCGAACTATTATTTTGCAGATAAAAATTATGGACAAATGTGCAATCATTAACATTTTACATTAATTGATAATAAAAATCGATGTACATTCGTTATAATCTAAAAATATTAAATTATAAATCAAGTTACAAATTTAATAGAATTTCACCATTCTTCATTTCACCAATGATAAAAATTATCACACCAATTTGTTTTTTTTTATTATCTTATTGGGCTATTTTGGAAAGTAAATATTATTTTCCTGCATACACGTATGAATGTATCGGACGATATAGGGTAAAATAATTTTGAGTGGATAATATTTTTTAATTATAGGCAAAAAATAATTTATATATATCATTTTAATTGTTAAAAATAAGCTGCTTAAAATAATTGTATATCTTTAAAATTCTCCTGATACATTACAAATTTTTCTTATGATTTTTAATAAATATTCTTTATTTTTTATAAATTAGAATGTTTTCTCCTTCGTTTCCTTTCCATATATTTTTCTACTGTATGCATACTTTAAAATCTAACGTAAAAGAGTAAAAATGAATATTCTCGCTCTTTTTAAAATATAAGTTTCTAATAAGTTTCTATAAGTTTCTAATTGAGCAAATTAATAGAAATTGTACGACGTCATCAATTGATAATCTTATTTAGCTTAAAATTTTTAAATGCCACCCTTGATCCATTTTTATGTGCAGTCTTATACGAAGTTCTATTATTATTATTAATACATATAAATTATATTGAGAAAGTAATTAAATTGTGGTAAATAATAAAAGAAAAAACGCAACAATTGATCTGCATGTGAATATTATTAATATTTTCGAGGATAATCTAACTTTTATAAAAAATATTGAGTAATAATTGTATTTAACAGCTTCCTATAATAACAAGTGTTATGTCATTTTATCTAAACAATTTTTATTAAGAATACGCTAATATTATAATAAATTTAGTTAAAACAGGATCGACTGTCATTACTCCTTAATACTATTGTCTGGGATCAGACTAAAAACCTCCTTAGATGGTGGGTGAAGGTGTTGCTGGCATGTGGAAGGGACAGTGCAATTATTCAAGACTACCTTTAATGTTTATCGTTATTTCTTTATTAAATATAATAATAATAATTAATTGATTATGATGTATAAATAATATAATAGATTAAATGTAAAGTTTCCTTTATTCTTACGTATTATGAATGTATTTCTTCCTTTGTTGTATAATTAATAAATGCTATCTTAACATACATTAAATTGTTGATAATAGTGGTATGGTTGATACCGAGCCTTTATTACATCGGTCTTGTCTGTAATATGTTTGAATATTATTATGCTTGATTTTTTTATCATTCATCATCTCCCACTTTCGATTTTCAAGTTTTTAATCCGTAATAACAATATTTATTAAGCAAAAACAATAAGATATAAATAATCGTATTACATAATTAAGTAATAATACATAAGTCAAAATAATTCATAATAAATAAAAATAAAATTAATAGATTGCTTATTGATTTTTTTTTCTTTCTTACTATCAACTTTCTCTAATTAATTCATATATATATGTATATACTGAAGTTGCAATGTACGGTTATTTTTCATAAAAATATGAAGGGGCGTAGAGAATTAAGCTTCAGAGAATATAATATTAGCTAAAATTTCGCCAGGACTATTGACAGGCTCGTATTGCAACACCTCCATTGCACGGATTAAGAGGTCATTCTTATCTTGGTGGGGACACATCGACAATTCGCGAAGAGCTATCGCATGGTAGAGAGTTAGACGCGTTTTATGAGGATCAACAATTGCAATTGTGTCGAGCATTCTTTGACAGAGCTCCACCTTTTGGGGATCGTCCTTAGAGAGCAATTGTATGAGCGAGTGTCCAATTGTAATGCAGTACTGATGACACGGATGTAGAAGGACGGTTAATCTGAAAATAATATTTACGTGTCAAACGTTATGCTAATTACCATATGCATAAAGTTTTTTTACTCGCATTATAACTTAACGCTCATTTCTACGTAGCGACTTATTCGTCTTGCAGTAAAAACTAAAGGAGTATGTAAAATTTCACTTTCCCCGAGGATGAATAGTCGAAATGAAAATTGAATAATTTGTCTCAAAAGCTCATTTCTACAATTAAAACAATAATTAAGCTCATCCGACGGCTAGGAGCTTTAGAAATAATGACTTAAGCCTGACCATGTAAATACAGCTAAAGCAACAAATCTGCCGTATAGTTTACTTGGCAATATTAGTTATAACATTAGGTAAGATCAAAGAGACACCCACCGACGAAGTAGATCGACCATAATATCCTTAACGGGAACCGTCATGGCCGCCTCGACCTCCTCGGCGAGTCTGTTGGTGAGCTGAGCGACCTCGGCAGAGCTCAGGACACCGGGGCAAGCATCGCAAGCCCAGTCGGCATCGGGCTCGAGAGGATCGCTTGACGTGACAAAGCCATTCTTACAGATACACTTGAGCGTCCCGAGGTTGCTGCCGAGCTCCGTGGGGTCAGCGCATCGCTCGCAATGACAGGTGAAGTATTTGGTCATCAGCAAGTGTTCTTGTCTGAGCCTCGTAGACCAGAGTACGTGCGTGTACGTCGTGCTGATGTGTTCGCCCCTACGAATCCAGCCGTTATCGCCTTCAATTATTTTCACCAATTTGCAAAATGTGTATGAATATATCAAAATGTAGAACAAAGAATTCGAAATGAAAATAAGACCGATGGCTAAGTTAAATTTTTTTTAAAGCACAAATAGAGAGAGAGAGAGAGAGAGAGAGAGATTGACAGATTAATACGTACAAATATGACATAATGTGATGTGCTCGTTGTGTCTTCGATATCTTACAAAGAAGCTTGTGCAAATTATGCGTTAATGAAACCGATTTCTTAAGATTTTAATACAAAATCACATTTCTGCAGAATATCAATAAGCAAAAGTCTTAATAAGAAAAGAGAAAAAGGAAAGCTTGTCATACTTTTTAATAGGCTTGACAGCGACAACACTGATCCTGGGTCTGCCGTCGCTGTCGAGGGTGAATGTGTGCCTCGTATTGGCAATGCAGCGATGCTCCAGGAGGCAAGATGTCTCGTAAATGGCCGAGCAACCCTCAGGTGGATTAGTCTCGAGCGCGTTGACGTCGATGAGCCCACAGACATTGGGTAAAATTTTTCTAGTTTCTGAGTCCCCGCACAGGATTGGGTTAAAATAGCGAATGATGGTTTCCACTTCCTCGTAAACTTCGGTATCGGGGCCACGTTTTGCTTCGTGACTTTGGAGTTTATTAATCAGCCTCCAGCTCATCGGATCTCTTTCTCGCAGCAGCAACGTTCGTAATATCAGCAGATAGCCGCATCTAAATAAACACGCGAATACGAGCATGTTTCACTGGCTCATCGGGAAAAGGTCCTGTGATGTTCGGACACTGTCAATCCTGACACCGTAAAGTAGCATACCTTGGTGATAACTGCGCTTTCTTCAAAATCGAGCACTCAGTGACGTGCACGACACCGGCAAGACCCTTGCAAGTGCTACTGCAGGCGGGCCAACCGCAATCGGGACATTTGTACAAGGCGTTCTTATTGCCGCAACCGACACAGATACGCTCGTTCGTGTGAGGCAGCGGACCCCAGACGAGCGGCACCTCCGAGAAAATTACCTCCTCCGTGGCGATGTCCCGGCTCGCAAGTATGTGCCGCCCGAGATACTCGTTATCGTGAATCTCGTAAACTCCACATGCGGATTTGTGACGAGGCCAATCGGAGCGTTGGTGCTTCCGCCCGCAATAGAACACGGCCTTACAGCGGCTACACCTGGTGCGAGCAGCGTTACCGCAGACGGCGCAGCTGCCCTCGAAGACCTCGCTCATCGTCGTCGTCTGCTTTCCGGGAACATACGGCATTAGTAGGTAGTTATCGCGCGAAGCCGAAAAGTTGCACCCGCGTCAGGTGTTTTATCGCTAGTCTTTCGCACGTCCCGTCAGGCACACTCGTCGGAAGCCACATTATTTGGAGGATCGCGGCGACTGTACATTGTAAGAGCGGAAAGGGAACTCTAAAGTTACGTTAATAGGTACATTATTGCATCAGATTAAACTGGCTCGATTAAGCACTCGTAACAGATCCGGTGTCATCCTAATATTAGCAATGCTTAGCTGAGATTTTTTTTCAACTGACGACATTTAGTTAATTTTGTGATAATATTGACTTAATAATTAGGTTGGCAAAATCATTTATGTACGAACTTTTCGAATACTCAATGTGCTATCAATTAAGAAATTGCCTATTAATTATTCGCAGTACAAGATTGCTTTAGATTAATAGGCGATAAAATAAATATCTCCGTTACTGGATATACACCGGTTGAAGATTATTATAATTTAAAATTTGTTTTTCATAAGTAAAATTTGTATATATCTTTAAATTATAAAATAAATATCTATTCCTCCTCGATAAATAATGATGGACGTAAATATATTTAAATTGTAATATTCTAAATGTTCCTTGGAGTTTCAACGAATATGTTTGCCGACGTGTATATTAAAAGTGAAAGTGCGATATTAAACTTACAATAAAAGATATATAATGAAATAATGAAGAATGAATGTCGAGTATGGAGTTATATAATAATATGTTTTATTTCAAAAAGAAGTCCACCCTCTGGTAAGAGTATTGTATGAAAAACGAAGAAAATATAAGAAAAACAATTCAAAAGATAACCTAAAAATAAGATATAACCTTTAAAAATGTTGTTCTCATAGCAATTACAAATTCTTAAAATAAATAAATAAGTCGCAAGTCACATTTCCCAAAAATAAATAAAGCATTTATTAATAATTAAAAAATAATAAGTTTCTTACTTAAAAAAGATTGCTTATTCCTATTTCCAAAAATACTCACTCATACACACAAACGCGCAAATAAAAGCAATAGAATTATTAACTTTCGATTACGGAAATATTATTGTAACAACAAATAAGAAAAGCAATTATAATTTATGCCGTTTGCTTTAATACATTAATACAGTAGTTAACAAAAACTTGCTTTATCATTTAACTTATCATTATTGTAAATATTTTTAAAAACATTTAAGCTTTAAATAATTGTTTAGGCTGCCGGATGTAGGTTATATGATATCTCATTTGAAACTGTGAAACTCTAGTAAGCTTGCCAGTGTTTAATTTTAACGGGCTAGAATTAGAAAGGCACGCACGGCTTATGAGAGACGCCATTAATTACATTGCTACTATGAAGCAATTATTTTGAACAATTGATACAGTACATCCATTACTTAATTCATTATAATTCAAAACTAATATATATATATATATATATATATTATTATTGTTATTATTATAAGTATATTTATGATGTAAGTAAATATAATAATACTTACAAATATCAATTATTAAGAAGTTTATTTATTTATTTGTTAGATTTTTTTATATAACTGGAACATGTTCTTTATATTTATAATATGCAACATAAACGAAAAACATTGAGCACAGCTCAAGTTTTTATTAACATAAACATAACGAAAATAATTGTATATCAAATATAGATATATACATTTTAACTGAGTTCATCTAGTGCGTAATATAATATCTGATGATTCTCAATACTCTTAACAATTGTATTTTTTCAGTTTGGCAAAATGCTAGCTGTAGTACGGCCTTGTATAAAACGTTCTATCTTACACCACTCCATAGTTATTATATTACAATCAGTTCGTATGTTGTCTATCTAAGTTATATTAAAAATTTTTACTTTTACATCCATTTATGAAAAAATAGTAATTCTATATAAAGTACCATACAATGAAGGTGAATATAAACAAATTATGAATCCTATCACTAATGGATTTCGATCTTATCTTTACAAATAATGCAAATAACAGCAATGATGATTTATAAATCACACATAAGTATTGATACATGCATTAATAGTAATATTGAAAATATGTACACAATATTCTATTTATTTATATACATATCTTCGTTTAAATGAGCACCATTGATATATCTTAACAACTTTTGAAATATTAAAACAAATATATGATTTATTTAAAATTATGTTCAATGCTTTGTCAAAAGTTAATTATCAACATTGTCAACAATTAATCATCTAGACGAATGATAAATGTTTTTAAAAATTTCGATAGAGAAAATAAACATTAAAAATAAGGATGGATGCTTTTACTGTTTTTACGTCATAAAAAAGTTAGAAAAAAAAGAATATGAATAAATTTTTAAAAGTTCTTAAAATAAAGTTACTCACTTTTAGTCTCTCAAATTATATTAAAGAATGATACCTCTTTAACAAATTATACATGCTTATACGAGTGAAATTTTATCATATCACATTGTGAATGCAAATAATAACACCATTTTCTATAATAATAATAAGAATTATAAAATTGAATTAAGCAAACGTTTTTTTGTCATAAATTAACAATTAAGTTCACATTGAAAATATTCGATATAAGATGTTTTTTAACGTATCATAATGTATGTCAAAAATCGAAATTAAAATTAATTTAATATTACTTTTAATTTTATCAGAAAATCGATAAAGAAACCTATACTTCCTTCAATGTCTCGATTTTTTTTTTTTTTTTTTTTTTT